TTTAACCCAATTAAATCTTATATAAAATATAAAATAAAAATACATAGTTGGAAAATTTTCAAGTATATTTAATCTCTGTATAGTTATATTTATGTACTTTGTATATTGAAGTTTTTTTTGTACATTTCGATATCAAAAGATATAAACATAAAATAAAATATAAATGTAAATGTAAAAAGCATTATATAAAAAATAAGATATAAATATATATAATTAAACGTATAAGAATACGTGCCACTTAGGTAGCAAACTATAAACGTTATTTGTCATCATATTGACGTCATGTATTAGCTTGTTGCCAGGGACAGAAGATCGAGGATCGCTGTGATTATAATTGGCGGGGGTGGTGGAGGGCTAATTTGTTCTAGCCCAATCAAAATTTTATTTGTATTTTAAATTAAATACAGTTTGCTTAGAAAAATTCTAAGTTTAGTCAATGACTTGCTAATTGCTAGTATAATTGGTTAAATAAAGTAGCTTACATAAAAAATATTGTTTATTTGCAATATAGTAATTTTATCATATAATTTTTTGTAAGTTTATATTACATAATGTCTTTTTTGTTATACTAGTACATATATATATAGCTACGTGTATTTTAATATACACGTTGAGGCGTTTGTGAATGGATTTCATTTAAACGCGTGCAGGACATTTTTATTTTCAGACTTCGCCTTTATACCAAAGAGATTATATACACTTTATATATCGACTATATTTCCTAACGTCGGTAATGTGTGTACCGGTAACATTCCTTGACATAACTACGTAATTAACGTTTTATCCTCTCTGGTGCCATTCATAAAAAATCGATCGCCAATAAACCCTCCCCCCCAGCCCATGATAATAAAATCGTAGATATCTCATTAATCCCGTAATGCGATCTGCTTCTCGCGTTTATCTTCTCCTTATATCACTAGAACTGAATTTTACTTTACATTCACTTCATTTCAAAGAAAAATGTGAAAGATTTCGATTTCGTTATCTCGAAGAGTTCAATTTTCCGAAAAATGTATCGATCGTTCTATCCTCGAGAATAAACATCGCTTACGAACGAGTGTCATATTTTTGATTTTTTTTTTATGTATTTTTTATTTATTGTGTTCTAATTTGCCAATAAAATCGTGGATATTACGAACGATAATAATGATATAATTAGAAATACAAACATGTCTTAACAAATGCATTAGTATGCATTATCTAAAAAAATGTTTACGTTTTTATATTTAAAAAGTTATAATAATCAGCATATATTAAAAATAAAAAAATATTTCGTGTTGTAAAAATAATTTATTACTAAAAATTACAAAAATGTCAACAAGATCATTACGCGCTGTGAATACCGCTGTTCGACTCCATAACAGCTTGATAGAGCAAAGGTCTCAATTCCTCTTTCACCAAGGAGTGCTTATCACCGTGTGTTATCATTAATACTGTATTCGCTTTGTTTAGTGCTCGGAGCGCTTCCTTCGGTTTTCCCAAGTGCAACTGTATCTTTCCTGTCGTAAGATACAGCAATCCCGTCAACGGGTGTATTTCCCCATAATACAATCTGAAAAACGAGAAATGATATCCTCAAATAGAATTATTAATTTTATAGCTTTTATTTATTATAGAACCGCCAGAGAATCGCTATTAAGTTATCATTTCACATTAATTATTCTCGGCTAACGAATCACATATACATTCTGATAACAATGTTATAATAAGCAAAATAAGCAAATATAAAACAATGATAGTTTTATATTAATATTTTGAAGATTAAAAATCATTTTGTGTGTATTATGAATTATCTTATTATTTTTCATCTGTTTCGATTAAATAAATGATTACTCACAAGTATCCTGGCATGAGTTCCTTGCCATAAAACTCTGCATCTTCCCAACATTTCAAGTTCATGGCCGCGATATGAGCCATCTCTAGAGTACGGACATGTTGTATATTAAATTTGTACATTACACCCTTCTGCTTCTTCAAACATATCTTACTAACGTCAAGATCTATTGTCGTTAATAAGGAAATATTAAGAAAAATATATTATTGTTGTATAGAATAAATGCATTTTTCCAAAATTTGATGCTATTAAGATAAAACAATATTATCAAACTTCTTAATGTGAATATCAAAAGGATACAAGCCATAGTTTTCATTTTTTCCAAATGGTGAATGGTAAAGTCGACGACTTCTCGAAATGTCTCCTTAAATTCTACAGACATTTTCTCGCCACACTTTTCGCATTCGTCAGCTTCAATCGAACACGGCGAGTCGCACGATGAGTTTGGACACGCGGCCGCCTCGGCCATTGGTTCCTCCTTTTTACATCTTTCGCAATCACACCAAAAGTAGTACGAACTACGCAATTCCTCGCGTCTGTTATTATTAGAACTAAGTAAATCGATGTAGGATATTCTTATCTGCACAAAAAAGAAAATCATACAAATTCTGAAATGTTAAGTACGTCCAAGTATATTAATTCACTTTTAATTATCAAGAGTCATGAGAATCAATTACAATTGAATTTTTGAACGCCATAGAATAAAAGATTTAGATCATTTTCAATGATTTATCAATACTTGCCTGCGACCAGTCCAAAGATGGAAGGTCCATTAACGTTCTGACGATAACGGTAGTCCCTTCGAAAACAACAACTGCATTGGGCTTACAACTGTGGTCTATCACAGACGCTCCCAGATAAATGCCAACACCGATGGTGTTCATATCGAGATCCAATATGTTGAAGCTGTTGGTACACATTCTGCCGTAAATACCCATCAGTTCCGCGATGTTGGGTAGGTGTGTCTCATCGAGAAACTGGAATAGAACTCCGCATAACGTGGTGAAATGTTCCATTCGCTTCGCGTCTACTTTTATGTCTGAATAATCTACAATCCAGAGATACGAGTTGATTACGCATATATATATATATATATATATATATATATATATATATATATTCATGTATTTCTTTTTTCTTAGGCTTTAGGTTTATGCTTCGGTCTTAAGCCTAAAATCCTTAGATGTCAACCAATACATAGCTGCAGTCCTAGCCAAAATCTAGCTGTATATTCTCATTAGTTGAATTTTAGGATTTTAAGATTAAGATCGAAGCCAGGCTTTAATGCCTCTCCTTTTAGGAAGAAAAACAATAGTACTTACGAGACATTAAATCCTTGAATTTCCGAGAGTTGTTCTCGGTGTAATAGCCCACTTCGTCGGCTCCGCCTTGATTCAGCTTGAGAATTATACGTGCCATGAGTCGAGCCGCATCCGGCAACACCCTCGGCAACACCTTCTTCAGACGTGCACATTCTGCCTTGTGCGTCGGCCACGATTCCTTCTGACAATTACGGTCGCAGTAGTACACGTACTGACATCCCGAGCACTTCGACAATTTTCCGCTGCAATGACAAATCACACGACGGCACTCGTGTATACAAAACGCGTTTACACTTGACGATACATAATTTGATCTACGATATATAAAGCTTATTCAATTTAAAATACCTAATTCAAAATAATGCAATAGAAAATCGTCAGATTTAATCGGTTTTGCACAAACCGTTCTATATACCTCTTCAAACAATTGTCGCATCGAGTAATCCTGTGTTTCGAGTTAAGAGTGAAGACAAATGGTTTGCCAGTGAGGATTGTTGTTCCCCTTTTCACTATATCGCTGCTCATTTTGCGAGCACAGGCGTTAAGTTACAATTACATTTACGAAACACACTCGGTCTTTTCATTCGGAAAATTCTCAGGCGTGATCTAACCTAACTTAATTGTTTTCGTTCGACGAACGAAATACCGGCTCAGTTGTTCCTAACCTTGAATTTTAACATCGTATTTTCCCGATTTCCCGTTGCATTTCTCGCTTCGATAGATTATTCGTGGTGTAATTCCTCATAATTCAAACGAATTAAAATTATAACAGGATATACATTTTTAAATAATGTAAAAACTCGAGTGCATTTTTTGCTTTATCGAATTAAAGAATTTTTATGTAAACAGCTGTTTCCAACAATTTGTATCTCCGATTTTTTGAACTGCAGTTTTTATTATTTGTTGTCTTTTATGTTGAAATATTCATCGTTTAAAAATTTAATTTGAATGTTTTAAATGAGGAATTACAATCCAAGAATTCTTATGTTAAAATATCCATTATTTTTAAAAATAATTTATAGTTTTCAAATGAGAAATTACAATCCAAGAATTTATGTTTAAATGTTTATTAAAAAAATTAGTTAAAATTAAAAACCAAGAATATTGTAAATAATGAAGATTAAAATTATAACATTTTTTTATTTAAAATTATTTCAAACATATGGAACATTATAATTTATGAAAAAGACTTGACAATTTTTTTCTCTCTTCCTTTCTTGCCCCGATAATTTTAATAAAAGTATATATACTTACATCTTAAGCACACATATGCTCTATTTTAAAGTAAAATTGAAAAAGGATTTTGATTTAATTTTTAATGCTATCTATAGTTTTATTTAATATAAAATGGAATTATATTCTCAAACACTGTAAAATAGAAGACTGAAGTATAGAAAGTGTATATAATGAAAAAATAAGTCTGAATTTTCAATAAACTATTTATATAATTCATTTTGAGTTCACAAAAAGTAGCATTTACTCAGTTTTGAGCTCGTCTTCCACATTTAATGCTACACTTGCAACATCAGTGAGGTTTGTAAAGATTAATATAAAATGTGCGTGTGAAATTCAAATTTAAATAATTTGTCATTCAATATACATTATATATAATTCTATACAAAAATTACAGAAGTTATATTCACAGTATTCTTTATTTCAAGTAAAAGGCTCATACAAACATATATGTGTCCTAAACGGCTTAGTTTCTGAAAAAGGGTGTTTAAAAAAAAATTTAAACATGTAGTAATAATCTGTCTAAATTTGTAGTAATAATATTAATATTAATATTTATAATAACATTAATATTTGTAATAATAATATTGACATTTTTATTTGTAGTAATTTTTTTGAAAATACCCTAAATTTCGAAAACTAAGCCGCTTAGGACACATGTTTATATTAACTTTTTTACTTAAAATAAACCAAAGAATTGTCCCCTTGAGTAATTGGCAATGTACTTGAGGAACAACCTGTATAAGAGGACAATCGTCTTTAGGATTTCGTCGATAACAATAAGTATTCAATAAATTACAAGATATGTCCTGATTATTTTTAGTAAAACAAAATTATTAAATTTTATACATGTATAAAATATCGCACAATAATTTTATTTTATAATCCCGATTGTAATGATAAATTAGCGTAAAGTCGTAAAGACAATATAAGCTTAACAATCAATGATACAATAAAACAAGGCTTAGGATTGGATGAACAATAGGAAAAGATGATTCTATCAAGATTATCTTTTTATATATATATAATATATATATATATATATATATATATCTGATAAAACATTTTTACCTTCGTAGGCAATGGTCGCATCTTTCGTCGCGCACCACCGATCTTACAACATAGGCAAATGGTTTCCCGTACAAAATAGTCGTACCTCGGTTCACAGGTACTCGCTTACACCTTTGATTCTTGATTCTCATCTTTTCAAACTTCTTAAAGTTTTTGCCCTCTCGCCGGTTAGTCACGAGAAAATGTCGAGAAGGCGTTGCACTTTCCCTAGTAACTTTGTAGGACTGGCGTCCTCTTTCCTACTCTTTCTTCTTTGTCTCTCTCCCTCTCTCTTTCTCGTTTTGCTGATGTAAAGAGAGGCTCGAACGCACGCTATTTTAAGATCGGTTTATTTTCGCATGACATATTATTGGAGCTAACTATAATAACCCTTAACCTGCTGATTTCTCATTAACAACCCGCACTTCCTCTATTATATTTCACAATTAAGACAAATCTGGAACACTTATTTACAGTCAGTTAAGTTAAAAAAAGGTTACAGAGTAAAACTAGGGTCTCGACGGATCTCTTCTCCCCGGAAATTCGTAGATCTTAAGATTTAGAAGAGTGGAAGCATATATCCGGTATTAAAATACGAGTTTTAAAAACAATTGGTTCAGCGCGCTCGCGATTAAAAATTAAAAATACATGGAAAAAATTACATTATCCACCATCAGATGCAGCGTCGTATTTACAATTAATTAACTGTCCTATATCATCATGTGTGTGTATGTATGTATATGTATGCACTTTTTTCTTGTTTCATACTAACTTTACATTCTATCGTAGATAATTTTACCCATCTCGAAAACTTTCAAGCGTTTTGTCGCAATGTTGAAATATAAAACTCGATTTATCGATTAGTCAACATAAACTGATCGCTCTGGACCGGTGAGATCCATGCATCAAGTGCAATTCGTCTAAGATTTCTTTGAGCTCATATTGTAGGGATAAAAAAAAAGAGGGGCCTGATAATTCGGTTTATCTTTCGTGACAACAACCCAATGACGCATACATCCTTCATATCCGCAAATGGAATTATTTCTACCATTCTTTCTTATGTTCGTCCATCGATACACCGCCTGGACCTAGAGAGACTATCATCAGAAGGCCACCGATGACTGATAATGTCTGTAATAAAATACAAATGCGTGAGAAATAAATGCCAGAACGTTTGTATAAAGGATAAAATTAAACATTGGAATTGTATTAAATCAAGCTCAATATTTAACTATACAAAAATTATTATTTCAAAATTGTTTAAAATTAGATAACTCTAGATTCAAAACAATTAAAATTTTAGTTCTTTCTCTGCATTATATAAGCAGAAATTAGCAATTTTTTCTGCTTATATAAGAATTAAATTCTTTTAATTTAACTAAGTTTTTCACCTTGTATTATAAAGTTATTTTACAAAAATAAAATATCAAGAAATTATTAAAATATTTAAAAAGTATATATATATTAGAAACTCTCTTCGCGTATTTTGTTGCAATAAATTTTAATGTACTAAAAATAAATATCCAAAATATTTTCCAATCGTGCAATTGGCAAAATCAGAGAAATTTACCTGGAAGAAGTCGTATTTGAGGAAATCCCTGAGCGGTTTATAATCAGGAATGGACCACCACGCATTGTGGTAGAAGTTCAATGCAGTCAGCAGAGCAACAAGTAGCAATGCGCTCAGTTTAGTCTTGTAGCCGACTGTCACTAGCAACATCAGGATGCTGCCAACGATATCCTGGAGGATCTGCAGGAAGGATATCTCGAAGCGGATCAGCGTAACAAACATGAATGCCAACAATATTCGACCGGCTAATTGCAGCAAATTTTTCGGTTTGTTGTCGCCAAGACTAGGAACGCCGGCAAACAGCGATCTGCCTTCGTCTCGGGATTCAGCTAATACCAACAGAAGCGCTCCTATCAGCGCCAAATTTCTGAACAAGAACTGCATATCCCATAGAATGCTGTAAGCGATAGTCTGTAGGATCACGATGAAGAAGAGAACGCCGCAGGCTATGTTGACTCGCCATCTGCCAATCACCATGATACATCCGCCGAGTTGTCCCACAAGATTTACAAGAACAAAGATGGTAGCCAGGAATTTTCCACAGCCCCAAGAGGCATCCATGTACTCCCGCTGCTCGCTCCATTGGAACCACATTCGTAAACCGTCTTCTAGGAATGTAGCGATGAGGCATAATCGTGCCAACGTCGGAAGCACGTGTTTGCCATTGCGGATAACCTGTCGGAATAAATAAATATTTTAATATATGCTTTTTCAATCAGTTCAATGGCAATAATTAAACAAAAAGATTGTGTCAAGAAAGGGATATGATTTGCAGGATTTTGAAGCTGCAAGCATAGCGTAGCTTAAAAGTTACATTTTTATGAGAGATTTTCTATGCAGATTTTCTAGAAATTTTAGAACCTGTCTTCTGTCAAATTTTATCTTACTGTTTGGCATGGATAATCTTTTTTATACATAAACTTTGAAACTAGGTTGGGCAGAAAATAATATGTCATAAATTGTGCATACAAGTATGAAAAGTAGGTCTGTGAAAGTGCAGTTTGTAGGATCCATATGTCCACTGCAGTCTCATTGCATATAAACACTACACTTAGGTAAAAATGTAACATTTCCGTTTGTAATATTGTCATAACTGAAACTAGTTCAATTATCTCTCTATGAAACAAATTTGAAAACAACAAGATGATAAGAACGGTGTATCGGCGAAAAATCAAAGTCATCATTCTACGCATATGCAGCCGTAAAGGTATCTTGGACCCATTTGAAAAATCTGTATCAAAACGACATGTTGTGTACAAGGTGACCGTCGAAGGAGAGAAATGTGGAAACTCGCCACGGCTCGATCGTCGGCGTACTCTTTGTCTAGGAGCCTAGGATCGAAGTTCATCTATGATAATTCATAACCTCCCACGTGCAATTTAACGTTTTAATTGCGATCCACGAGTGCGACAAACGCGTGGAGACGCGCGTCACGAAAATATGGCAAAAACATGCGCGCCAAGGAGTGATGACGTTGGATAGGAGCGGGCCGCCCGTAACGCTCTTCCACGGGATCCCCGATTCCCTTTCGTTTCTCCCTCGTACATCACGGATACACGGGGAGGGCCCCCCCCTCGGGATCGGGATCTGGACAACCGGAGCGGTCGGACGAGGAATGTCGCCACCGCCGTGAAAATTTACCTGATCGGCGATCTCCTCCGCCCTCGAGAGCACCTCCTGCGAGATCACCATCGTGGTGTACTGTCTTTCAAAAACCGAAAAAGCTACCCATGCACGCACACACCGACATACACACGTGCGCGCACGCAAGTGGCACGGCTGACGGCGGTGCAGAGCGGTGCTGGCGGTGGCCACGGCGGCGCGCGCCGAAGCAACAGCGAATGGTTGGGGGGGGGGGCGCCCCTTCGCCCGCCGTGCGCGAGTGTGTGATGTGGAAACTGGAAATCGGCTGGCTGGCCGGCGCTGCGCGCGCACCGCTTCCGGAGTACGTGGTCGTCGCACGAGAGTCGGCGCCGTTCGCCGTCGAATTCGACTCGCCGCCGAGAACCGCGCGGAACTCGGGCGCGATCTTCATCCCGCGCCGGCTTTTCTCGCCGGCCGAGGCGAGAAATTTCCTGTAGGAGTGATGTCGCGAGATCGCGCGGATCGTCCTGTACGTATATGTATCTCGCTGTCGCTAATTACGTATCTCGGGGGAGTTGCAGTATTCGAGTAAACTGCATTCTAAATCCCACACGTATCTCACGTATCCTGAGATTTTCCTCATTTCTCATTTGGATATAAATATATTTCGCTCCCTCGAATCACGCCGCATTTACTTTTTTTTCGACTCCAACGGCTGTTGAAGTACTTCCAGAAAACCAAACGACTACATATCGCGGCTAAGTTCACGTCGCTAATTCGTCTCGAGAATCGCGTAGAAATGGCGACAGTTGCGAGACGCGTCGCGTAGAGCCGCGTTCGAACGCGGTACGTGTATTTCCCGCGCATTATTGCCGTCTAAAAGCGAATCTCTGTGCGCGCGTGTCGTCGCGGAGTGTCTCGTTCGAGTGTCGAGTGCTCGTCGCAACACGGTTGAATCCGACGTCGCGACTTGGCGGATGTGAAAAAAATTCCGGCTAGAATTCACGGCATCTTGACAGGTATTTCGTCAAAAAATCCGATGTTCTTATGCGCAATCTAATCCCCTAATACATCTTTCTCATTCAGTACAGAAGATGCGGCGAATACGCAACGGAAGATGAGCGGAAAATCGACGCGACGTGAAAGAAATTCATATTGTCGTTGGGAACATGGAGGTATTCTCCATGGTTAGGAACATCGGGTAGGATCATTGTTTTCGTCAAGGATTACTACTTACTCTCCGTCGATAGGCATCGCGCGTCCACCGTCGGTATGTGCTACTTTCATTTATCAATATGCGCTAACCATGCATAATTGTCGCTACCGCTACTGGATGGCAGCACTATACATTTTAATTTAATTGACGTTTGCGGTATTTGGTTCGGTATTGTGGAGTTGAAATCTTGCAATTGCGAAATGGATGGTATACATAAAATCTTGTCATATTTAGAATGAGAAGAAAATTAATATTATAATTGCAGGATGTATAAATCGTATACTTTAAAAAAATTTGACAGATTATAATAACGCTTATCTTCGCGTTCTTTTCTTTCGTCTCAATCGTCTCTGTCAATCAATAAGACAATATACATATAGAGGTTTTTTAAATTAATTAATTAATTCTGAAAAAAAACGTCAATTATTTTTGAAGTTTGAAACAAACATTCTATTATATGTATTATTCTTCTCTCCATAATAATTTTCCATCGAGAAACAGTACGGATCGCATATAAAATAATTGTACAAGAATTGGAAAATCAATAGTTATCTCTTTTTCAAGATGTAAATCATTACTAAACAACAAAATTAAGCTTTAATATGTTTTTTACTTTATCGAAAAAAAAAGTAGAATTTCCTCATATCTAATTATAATATTTGCGATTTGTGAAACTCGCTTAAAGATGATCAAGGAGGTTTACATATGTCGCTCACACCTTTATATAAATTCGGTTCCCTTTTACGTTCCGCAAAGATTTCCTTCGCGAATCGCGTTTCACGCTCGATGAAATTTTCACGTTTCCTCGAATGCACGAAGTCGACAACTGCGACCGTCGTGATTTTGTCCTGCGAGCGAGACGGCGGCGGAGCCGTCGAGTTTTCGCTCGAGATGCCGCTCCGCGATACCCGCTATCTGCTCTACCGCGAATACGAATACGAATACCACGTGTGTACGCCGCGTATATCAAGTTGTAATAGAGACGAGTAGGTTTACTATCGCCGCCGCGCTGCCGGTAGGCGCCGAGTTACTTGACTCCCTATCCTATTTGGGACCGGACAGGAAAGGGAGCTGACGAGCATCTCTCTGCCCGTTGATCTCGCTCACATCTGTGCGTTCTAAGTGGATATATACACCAGGTAGTTTTCCAATAAAACGCGAGAACTCCCGCTAAACTTCCGCGTTCATACATACGCTTGTAACTCACAAAGCATTTTCATCGGATAAGTTTTACAAGACCTCGATAGGAAACTTTAATTGAAGAAGACAAAAATCTTCGAAATAGCAAAATATTTTCTCTCTTACAGAAAAATGTAACTTTTCTAATAACTACAGAGAGAAACATTTTTTAATATATTTTTGTATCAATTTCTCAAAGAGCAATGTATATAAAATAAATACTTAAAATTTTAGTTAGATTTATATTGCTGTAGATCTTTAAATATATTTTGCGATGGATTAATTTATTGGCATTCGTAGAAATTTATTGATAATTATAATATTGGAAATTACTCTTTTTTAATTTGAAGTTTATTGACATCCAATTGTCATTAATTTTACATAATCAAGAGAGAAGTATATTTGATTGTTTCGAAAAGGAGAAACATCTCTGAGATAGAGAGATTAAGTCTCGCTCGTTTTGCAGCAATTTAACATTGGAAAACGACTTTAGATCTAGAAATTCTATTTTTACACACCTATATAATTGCGTCAAAGTCGCGGGAGAAATTTAGTAACGTCACGTGTATATTAATATTCACATTTTTATCCCGATCATCTTATTTGCTGAGAAAAGCCGGAAACGAATCTGATTGTGAACTAACGTATCTCGCATTCCTCGCAACGGTGGAATTTTCGCTTCCTTAGAAAATCGCCGCGGGGTTGCAAAAGTGCATATCCCTTCGCGCCGACCTCGTGACGGCGGCGGGCGGCTGCGGTCGTATATACGGCGAGGACGGCACGGTCGACGGTGGCTTACGTAAGTCGAGGACCGAGCGTGGTCGCATTCGTTCCTCGAAGCGTCGTCGCAGCGGGAATCGAGCGGCGAGAGAACGCAGCACTGTGTGTGCGCGCGCGAGGCTGTCTGGCGCCGCGTTGTCGCATCCCATACAGAGGATTGCTTTCGCACAGAGACACAGAGAGACGGAGGTCCTCTCTCGTGAGTGTCCGCACGTGAGAGGAGTGAGATAAACGAGGGGGAGGGGAAAAAAAATCGGAACTACACAGCTATCTCGAAAATATCCGTGCTCAGTAACGCGCGCGCGCGCGTCGGCGCGTTATTGTTCGCGGAGTCGCGCCGTGTCTCGGCAGAGCGATTCGCGATTTGTTAGTCGATTTGTAATTAGACAAATGTTGGTTGACGGCTGAAATGAGCGTTCTGTTAGGACAGGTGAAAAATGGCCATTATTTTAGTTTAATTTTCACGTGGATTGGTTCGAACAATAAATAGAAGGAATATGTGATGTATAGAATTGTATGAAGAGATTAGATTAGATTGAAATGAGATAAAGTGATACATCTTACAAATGAGTTAAATTTCATACATCTTATAATGTGAAATTTTTCGTTAATATGATAGTAACAAGAAGAAATAACGGTGATGATGTAGTTTTGAATTCTTGCGTGATCTACGAGCGCCGAGCAAGATTTGAGTATTTAATTTTCAATTATAAATAGTAAGGATTATTTTAGTATTTAGCAACAACTTCCGAATTAGTGCACTAATTAGAAACGCACGAGAATGCTCCTACGGTGCCAAATGACGCCCTACAGAAATCTTCGTTTAAACATCCAGTTTCTCGGATAAATTGTTAATTGAATATAAAAAATGATACCTACGTTGCTCTAGACTTGTTTTTCAGATTAAAAATTCTTGATTTGAATTGATCTGATTTAAATGCATAATTTAGGAGAGAAATCACTCATAAATTAAATTAAATCTGGTTTAATTGACACGAGAGAGAAATTACATAAAATCTCGTAAATCGAGATTCAAGCCCTTGAGCTCTCATAGAAGTGGTTACGCCGAAAAAACGGCCACTGCTGAATCACCACTTGACTTTTATTATTATTCTTTCACGAAGACCGATCACAGATGCCTCGCTATCGGCGCGATCGATGCTTACGCGGAAAAAGGGTATCGGTTTCCCGGACATGTTTTCTTTTTCATCGGGCGAGTCGATTCGGAGACGGAGTGCGGGTCGATGGCGCGCATAATTGAACACCCTGGACTGGTTTGGGCACCGTCGTCGTCCTCGTCGTCGTTCCGCCGTTCCGATCTGCTCTCTCCGGGTCCGGGCAGGGCATAGCGATCGTTCCGCAGCATTCTCATGGGCTCCTCCTCGCCGTATCGTTGCGGCCGGTGTTGCATTAATTAAGCGCAGATGCCGATGCCTTGTCACCCGCCATTTGCCATTCGTATTCGCGTTTGTATTCGTCCGGCCGCAGCGGTCGGAACCTAATATACGACGGCGTGTAGAGGGTGTCTCGGAAATCGCATCCCGTCACTGTGATAGATCTTCCCGAATAATTCCAAGTGCATAAAGAGCGAAAACGTAATCTATTACACCGCGCGGTTTTCGACATTAAATATCTAAGTAATTTGAATATGCATGGCATTTAAATGCGTAATGAAATGTATCAAACATACATGTTGATGAAGAAATTTTAAGTTCGACATCAAAGTGAAAGTGAAATTTTGTGGTTTATTTGCAAAAATCGAAAAATTGCAATTTTTTAATTTATAATTCGAAATTAGATGTTTTAATATCAATATAAATATAAATATTATTTTTAAAATTTTCCAATTATAAAATACGCAACTCTTTTAAAATACTCTGTATTATTTTATACTTTTCTTTATCAATTCTTGCGTTTTTTGTCTATCTCCTTTTTCTCTATTTGAAATATGCTCATATTTTTTTAAAGGCTCGTTATAGCAACGTAAATATAAAGAATTTATACTATCATTTGTATCCAATAAAAATATAAATATAAGTTGATCTACGATTTTTGGAGCAATTTCAAATCGATATTTCCAAGATTATTAATACATTTTAAAGATTTGTGTCTTAAAAGTACCGACTAATATATTTGTTTTTTGAATTTATTAGTCATTCAAAATTTTCACGAGCAAGTTTTAAGTTTGCAAATAAACGACGGTCGTCTTTCTCGTGCAATTTCTCATGGGCTTCAGTTTAACGGAAGTTTAAACGCTGAGAAGTGCCGTTTAATTGCTGCTTGATGCTGAAAATAAAGAAGGCGCGAAAAAGATGACGTCCAATTAAACTTTCGCTAAAGAGAAATCGACGCCAAATTGATTAAGGAGTTCGCAGCTGGGAGAAAGCGCGATAATTCGCGAAAATTCCTAGATATTTTATAATCTTAAAATTTTTATAAACAAAAACGCTTATAAAGCATCATATCACGCTGTTTATTAGTCCTTTATTTAATATGAAATATAATATCGCTGTACTAAATTTATACATATATTAATTATGATTTTATTTATATTTTAGAAGAGTCAAAGCATCTCATATAATTAAACAAAGTATTTTACTTATCGGAATGATGAGTTCTTTCTTTTTTAAAGTATAACTCATACATTTAATTCTCATTATATCATCTCGCACGCGATATTTTAATTCGAACACAACGTATCTATGAAATTTTCAATAAGTATCCCGATAAATCGCATAGATAAATCACATGAAATATCATCGCACATAAAGTATATAATCTCCACATTGTCCAAGGATTCCTATTATTCCTAATCGATAGAAACTACCGCAATCCCGGGACACCATGTACGTTATCATAGTTCGATTTCCCCGCATTCGTAGTCGCTCGCCTAATTCATTTGTCCACCCCTGCACGTCCGTCCGTCCATCCGTGCGTGCGTGCATACGTGCGATCTTATGCGTGCACGCGTGCAAGCGAGCGGTCCTCGGCCGCGTCCAATTCTTACGCGCGTGTGCGATTCGTGC